ATATTTTAACAAGGCCAAAGAATTGAAAACATTAAATTAAAATATGAAAAAAAAACACTAGAAAAAAAAAATGAGAAATAATGTCCTTGAAAATTTTATTTTTAGAGAAAATTAAAAAAAAAAAAATAAATAAATTCCAAAATGTTTTAATTACTGCAAGTATTCGACACAATGCCGCTACTTAATTTGGAATTTCACAATAAATAAATTCTAAAATTTTTTTTTTTCTGTAACATAAAAATTCTCTTACTGAAGGTCATAGACGTTTCTGTTGAGATTTTTTCTGTTTTTTTCTGTTTTTTTTTCAAATTGAAAATCATAAAAACAAATTTATTAATAGGAATACAATTTTTAGAGGACTAAACGCTAAATTTAATGAAAATGAACTGTAATTAAATGAAATGGTTGTTGTACAGGTGAAAATACTAAATTTTTTTAAAGATCATTGAGAAGTTACTAAAAATAATAAATTTTATTTGGTTATTTAATTTAATTAATAAAAAAAAATTTAATGAAATTTAATTAATATATTGAGTAGGAATAAATTATAGTAGTGCATTGAGTATGTTGTGATGCGATAAGACCAAACTCGATCTCACCAAATTCGATTTGGTATTTCGAATGAAATACTACTAAAAATTTATTCGAAAGCGATTAGAGTATGTAATGGAAAATACGCAAATATGGGGCTAAACGCTTTTAGGGAAATTCTTATAATTTTATTTGCTTTCTTCAGTTTCATATAAATTTTACCATGTCTAAATGGAATTTCTTTAATATTTAAGACGTTGATCGATTATGTTTGGTCCATTTCTTAATTAGTATACTGTTATACCTATAGAAGCGGAATATATAAATATTTATACCTTTTGAAACAAATTTGTTTTCCTCAATAATATACTAAATGATATTCCGGCCCAAGAAACACTCCACACTTTTCAATTTAAAATTATCACTTTATAATTTCAATAATGAGTGTTTTCTTTACTCCTTGTTAATAATTCATAATTTTTAATTGGTCTAATTCATTACTCATTTTCAAAACAAAATATATATACGTACTTTTAATATGAAAAAAAAAAAATCAAATTAATCATCAAGAGTAACATAAGTAATTGGAAATTTGACACAATTGCTTCATTTAACAAAAATAGGAAAAACGTTTTAATATCGAAATTATTGAATAATTCATTTTTTTGTTTTTTTTTTTCTTAAAAATTTTTCAATTTCTTTCTTCTCATCTTAAGATTCCTCTAAATACTTGTATACATTTCTTATTATATACCTATTTTTATGTATTTCACATATTTTGTTACATGATTATAAATATATAAAAATTTATTTATAATAAAAGTATACAAGTATGTATATATAGACTGTAAACATAAAGCATTAACATTAAAAAAAAACGAGAAAAAAAATAGAGTTGACCTTGTCAACTCTGTGATACCCGTACGAATTTGTTATCCTATGTGCGAATAAAGATGCCCTAACTGACTATGGGACAGACTATGACTTTAAGTTGCCGTATTACCATATTAATTTATGCAAAATTTAACTGCTATGTGTTTTTCAAAATACTGGTTGTCCCAAACTACTATTGAAGTTGTATGGCAGCTACCAGAAAGAGCCAAGAAATTTTAGCGAATTTTATCAAGCACATCGGCCCTGCTAATATATTCACTTGTGTGAAATCTCAATATCACAGCTTTTATAGTTTCTGAGATATAGCCAAATAACTTTTGAAGTTGTATGGCAGGTACCAGAAGGAGCCAAGTAATTTCAACGACTTTTATGAGACACATTGGCCCTACTAATATATTCGTTTGTGTGAAATTTCAATTCCACAGCTTTTATAGTTTCTGAAATATAGTCAAATAACTTTTGAAGTTGTATGGCAGGTACCAGAAGGAGCCAAGTAATTTCAACGACTTTTATGAGACACATTGGCCCTACTAATATCTTCGTTTGTGTGAAATTTCAATACCACAACTTTTATAGTTTCTGAGATATAGCCAAATGAATTTTGAAGTTGTATGGCAGCTACCCGAACCGGTACCCCGATCATGCCCAATTTAAATAGGGTTCTGGCACTTACTACAATAAATCATCTGTGAAAATTTGGTGAACTTAGCTCAATTAGTTTTTGAGTTATCGTTCGGACGGACGGACGGACGGACGGACGGACGGACGGACGGACAGACAAAGCTAAATCAACTCAGAATTTGACGCTGATCAAAAACATACACTTGAGTCTATATCTAACACTGTTATTTCTTAGTGTTACAAACGGTAAGGCAAATTTAGTATACCCTTCGAACATACGTTCGTACGGGTATAAAAATTTTTATTTCTTCATTCTTTCGTCATAAATTCAAATTGACTCGCTGAATCGTATTGAAATTTATAGCCTGACATTAAAATCAGCACTAGTTTATATCATAATTTTACACTTATACACGCATACATATTTCTATATACATATGTATTTGGAATTGTACGTATATAAATATATAATAAGGATAACAATAAGAAACAAATAGGAAAAAGAAATAAAGGAGACGAAAAATTTAAGTCAATATTTATGAATAAACTGGTGCAAAAAAAAGAACAATAACAAAATTTTTGTATAAAGGACGAAAGGCGGCGGGTATAGACGAGAAGAAAATAAAATTTCAGTCAAAAGAATTTTATTTTTTTCTATTTTATTTTTTTGTTTTCCTTATTATTTTTATGATTATTATTGTTTTCTTTTTTTTTCATTTCTTCACAGCTTTTCTTTTTTAATTTTGTGATGAATTTTTTGTTTATTCATCAATTTGTAAATTTCTATAATATAACAAGGGTTTCAAAAAAAAAAAAAAAAAGAAATTTTTTTTTTCTACAATTTTCACTTCCCCATCTATAGTTTCGGAATTTTTTTTTTATTTTATTTTAATTTTCTTTATTTTCTCTCTCTCTTGACTCATTCTCTATATAAAAGTTTTATTGTATATTCGAATAAAGTTTTAGAAAATAAGAAAAACAAAAATTGAAATTTTAACAACTTTATTTTGAATGCTCTATGGCTACTTTAAAAATGAATTCGTGATTTGAAATGATAAAATATTTATATTAAGGATTAAAATAACTTTTATATTGAATTGTGAAACCTTAGACTATTATTATTATAAGAGTATTATATAAAAATACACATAATATATAATAAATTTTGAATTTTGTTATACACATAATGTGAAATTTTGTTGTACAACCATAAGAATACCACAAAATTTCAGTATCTTAGAACAAAATAATAGGGTAATTTATATACTAGGTATATATGTACATTTCATATGCTCAATGTGTGTATGTATATATGGTATGTATAATTTAAAATCATTTATACCGCATATATCCTAGCAAGCATGTCCTAGTTATAGTTTTGAATAATGTTATTATTATTTTGCCTTTTTTAAATAATTTTTGGTATATAGGAAATTTACATTTTAATTAATGAAGTTTATTTAAACAAAAAATTGTAGAGAGAGAGAGAGAAAAAAAAAAAATGTATAAAGAAAATTATTATGGTTTAATTTTATTAGATTTTATTTTTGGTGCCAGAATGGTAAAAAACACAAAAAAAAAAAATCTTTTAAATTGGGTCAATAAATTTAAACAATCATTATACACGTAATAAAAAAATTTTTTATATACTTATTTTGGATCCTTTTTGGTATGAGAAAATATTTTATAAGCAAAGGTATGTTTTTGTATATATATATATAGAAATTTATTTGAAAAGCAATACAATAAAAACTAATTTTCTGAAATAATATCTTAAAAGAACGTACAGTCTACTAAATATATAGAAAATTCACGAATTCTGAAAGTAGTTTAAGTAGAAAATCACCTAAATTTCAAGTATAATTAATATTTTATTTCAGGTAATTTTATGTATAATTTTCAATTGGTTTAATTTTAAATAAAATTAAATTATAATTATATGGTTATGAGGACTGAATGCCTCACAACGTAAAACTCAGATTATCGTAAAATTATGAGATTTAATAATTTGGTTTTAAGTTGGTCCTGAAATAGAAAACATAATTGCATTAATTTATTTGAAATATTTATGTGCCCGCAATCTGATCATTGGTGCAGTGGTTATGGCACCGGCCCTTTAACCGAAGGGTCTCGGGTTCAAACCCCGGTCAGGTCACTATAAAAATTATATTCAATATTATATAACTTAATATGCAATACTAATAAATATTAAACAAGTAATTTTCAAATATTCATAATATTCGATACTAAAAATTAAGAAAAATAAACAGTAAATATTAATAACCTCAAATAATTAATATAAATAAAACTACGGTAGGCTAGTCACCTACCTAGCTAACTCTCTATGACTATAGAAACTAGGGCATGATATAGATATCATGCACTAGCCCTATACTCCTCCTAGGAGTGAAGAAGGAAAAAAAAAAAAAATGTGCCCGCAAGTGCCACCTGTTATCCATTAAAACTACAGAAGTTTTATAAGGAAAACATCCCTAGGACGACTTTTGTACTCAATTCTTAATTTTAGTTAAAAAAAATTGTTTCACTTTGCTCAGATCAGAATTTTATCATAAATTCAAAAATTTCAATAGATTTGTCCACATTTGAGATTTGATATTATACTGTTAATTACTGTTAATTATCACGAACTCGTCACGCAAACAAAACGTATACTCTGTTATATTTAAATTTCATTTCTGATTTTAAAATCACAGGACTCTATAATTTTATATAAAAATACAATATTAAACTTTTCGATGTTGTTCCCCACATTGAGACAACAAAAAACGCTTGTTAAACTTATCAATTAATTATTTTTTGTTTTAATAAAACCAAAACTATTTTTAAGTATTGGATGTGCCAAACATAGAATTGAATTTTTTGTTTTTCATATTGCAATATTGAGCGCAATCAAATATTAATGAAAAAAAATAGAAATTAATAAAATCTTTTATTAAAATTTATTATAAAATTGCATTTAAAATAATTTTTTTTCTTTTTTGCATCCAATTTTACAAATATTTTAATGGTTTGCTTGTACGTATAGAATGTACACAGTTGGAACGTTCAAAATTTTTTTTTTTTATTTCTAACAAAGAGGAGTGATTTATGCAATTTAGTTTTTTGTGTTTTCCTTTTACTAAATTTAAAAGAATTTTTTGCGCTTCTTGCTAGATTGCAAAAAAAAAAAAGAATTAAAAAAATTGGTTTTCATTTAACAATAATTTTGTTAAAAATTGGTTTTCGCAATTGGTTTTCGACAACACAATTTCTCGTCCAGAATAAATTATACACGATAACAGGAGGAAAACAAAAATATGTCGCATCGCTGTATTTTGTCTTTTTTCTCAACGTGTTTTAAAAAAATACATGGTTCAGCAAACTGTTTAAATGCATATTGTATATATACCCACATATATAATAAAAACTATCTATGCATTGGTAACGGAATAAATCGCATTTCTAATGAATTGATTGTGATTTTTATTCAACTCAATAGTTTAAGTTTTTTTCTCTCTAGTTTTTCATTGAAGCTGTTTTAATTTAAATCTGTAATCTTTGCCAACGTTTTCTATTATAAATTTTTTTCTTAACGTTTACCATCTCATTTTCCTGAAATGAAAATCACATTTTTCAATATTCCGAATGAATTTCCCGTTTTCAAAATTTAATTTTTTAATTCTTTTGTTTTACATTTTAACTTAAAAACAAAGAAGAGAAAAATCTTTTCAGTATGCTAGTCTTTCATGTCAGCACAGTAAAGAAAAAAAAATATTCCAACTTTTTTTTTAACACTCTCTGTTTTTAATTTTTAAGTCCTTCCTCCCGCGTTTTTCTGTTTGCTGCCTTGTCAACCAAAAGATAAATATGAAGAAATTTTAAAATCCATCATGGTAATTTTTGGTTAACAAAAATTCCAACAATTTATAACCATATATCCGTTTTGATATGACATACTATATATATTTATATATACATCTTGTGTACACGTTCATAAAATATTTATAACTTTTGTTCCACCAATTGTTATTCCTCGATTGCATTTAGGATAAAATGAGAGAACAAAAAAAAACAAAAGGGAAAAAAAAATCCCTATTGTTTTTGATGCATTTGCATTAAAATTAATTGGTGCCGTTGTTGATAATGTTGCTATTGTTGTTCATGTTCCAATAATGTTGTTGTTGTTGCACCTACAACCGAAATATATGAAGTTGTAAATTGATTGAAATTTTGTAATTCGATATCATTGTTGTGATGATGCTGTTGATAATAAATATTTGGTTCATGAATTGGCGTTTCAAAGTAAAACTGCTGAGCTTGTTGTTGTTGTTGTTGCAATTGTAATTGTTGTAATAATTGCTGATCGTCATGATAATCGTGCTGTTGTTGTTGTTGTTGATTTTCTTTTTGTTCATCTAAAATTGTTTGATTTAATTGCTGATGATTTTGATATTCATTAACATGTAATTCATTTGGTTGCTCTAGTTGTTGTTGCTGTTGCTGTGACTGTGACAATAATGTTGTTGATGATGATGGCGGTGGTGTTGAAATTGGACGAGCAAAATATTATAAAAATAAGAACGATATGCAAATTAATACTATAACTGAGTAATTAATAATACTATGATGCGAAAACATTATTGTTGACGCTGTTGATGAAAACGATGACCATGGAAATATCGATGATGATGATGATGTACTACTATAATGTGTAACACTTAAATCTCTCATTTCAGTATCTGTAATTGATAATTGAGAAAAAAAATTATAAAACTATTATTTTATTTAACTATTATTGAAATTGTAATTACTAAATGTACCCTACAGAGTTTTGCGAGGCCCAAACAATATAAGTATTATAAACTAAAAAAATGTTATTGACCCTAAAAAACGCAACTCTCTTCAGATTTTTTCATAAATATTATTACAAGAACTAAATGCAATCTCGTACATTAAATGCCATATTTACTTAAATTATTTTTAGAGCATAATAAATTCTTTTCCCTCGAATAAGTCGTAAAGAAAATTATGGATAGATGAAGATATCCTCAATTTTCGAAGCTAATTTCAATTTAAACTTTTAGGAATAACAGCAATTTTTCAAATATCTAATTTCTACAATATTCGTACTGAATTTGTAAAATCTTTAAGGATTAACAATTTACCATTTTTGGAATTACTAAAAATTTTATGTCCGATTCGATTTTAAATTTATTTATTAACAATAAAACCGACTTATTTCAAAAATTGCGTAATTTTCTTTTCTTTGTTTTATTTTATTGATTTTATAAAACAAACTTGAAACAAAATCACTTTACACTTTTGAATCAATTCAAATTTTAATGGAAATCTTTATTTTCTATTATATTTGAGATTTTCTTAAAAAAAATTAAAGTACAAAAACAATATTTAAATATTTTAATTTGTTTTTATCCTGTACATCATTGCTTTTATAGAATGTATAGGTACTGAGGCTTAGCACTGTATATGCATTAAGAATATTCTTTAAGTAAACTTATGTATGTGCATATACAGATGTAGTACCATTCCATTATTTCTTAAAGTAATAACATTATTCGTACACCCAAAAGGTACTTTTACTTTAAAAAAATATAGCTACGTATATAAAGCAAAAATATGTATTCAATATTATTATTGTTTTATATATAAATGTATAAATATTTTGTACATAATATATTTTATAATTATGTTTATCGTATATATTTCTGGTTTTATATCCTTATTCTTATATAAATAAACTTGCTTACCTGTATTCGATGTTGTAAATAGGAAAATATCAGAAAAATCACTCCAACCAAAACGATTTCTGAAAATTGAAAAATAAATAAACCGAGTTAAAGAAAAATACTTAAAAAATGAAAAAAAAAATAAAAATATAAAAAAAAGGAAAGAAAAATAAATTGAAATTTTTTTTTTTTGTTTTTGTAATTAATATTTTTGTAAGAGCTTCTGAATTTCTGTCTTTTTTCAAAAAAAAAAAAATTCTATTTAGAAAGTAAGGTCTGAAAAACAACACAACACCAAAAAGTAAATCTTTTTTTAATAAAATTGAAAATTTTGTAGTTTGGAAAAAAAAAATAACAAAAACATAACGGCATAGTAAATATAAAAGAAAGAGAATAAGTCTGCAAATAAGATTAGTGCAATATGAAATCCTTATTTATTTTTCTCAAATATACCGACCGAATATTAAAGGGAAGATTTTCTTTTTTTAAAATGAATTTGATACTTCTAGGTTTAGAGTTTTGGGATGTACAATATATAGGGACATACAAAACATTAATTCATCTAAATTGAATATAACAGTTAAGATTTAAAGTTTGAAACATTTGTGTAAAGATTTTTTACTCAAAAATTTGCCCAAAAATTAAATAAAAAGAATAACTGTTTTTTCATAAGAATATCATACACACATAATTGAATCTTTAATAGAAAAATAACAGCTTAGTTAGGTTTATCTCAATAGCAATAAAATAGGTATTTTAAAATTTGTGTTGATGAGTGTTGAGGTGTTTGCTTCAGAGAAGAGTTTTATTTCAGATAAAACCACTAGAATTAGAATAATTAATAGTATTTTAACTCCTAATTTTAGGATTATTAAAAATAATATAAATTGAATGCAAAAAAGTTGGAAATTTTAAATAAAAGATAAAATAAATTTAATATTTTTATTAATTAATTGGCCACGATAGCGATATTTGATGCGAAAACATTATTGTTAATTTATTTTTTAAAAATTTTGATTCAAATAATGCAAACTCGGTAACCTCTCTGCTATATTAGCATTCACACAAAATATGAATTTGTGAGAACGTGCCTACTACTTGTCTCTTGTTAAGTATTACGATATTTTGTATTGAAGTTTTTTTACGAGCATGAATACAAAAAAATTAAATCAAAGTTCATAATATTCCACAATATTTTTTTATTCTCACAAACATCACCTTAAATGAATACAAATTCCAAAAATTTTATGAATTATTCAAAAATTCTCTCGTAATTATTAAGAATTAAAAATATTGAATTGCATTCACATACTCATACATACATAATTATAGCAAATATTTGAAAAAAAAATGACAAAAGAAATTCTTACCTTGCTTGTAATTTTGCTTCATATTGCTGATCGGGTTCTAAACCCCTAAGAATATAATTCATTCCTTGTGTATAACGACTTGTACCTGACATCGCTTGTAAAATAATTTCACGCCATTCATATCTAGACCAATGCATACCCGTACTTGAATAACCAGAATGAAATAGCATTGAATCCATAAACGATGGGTTCAATGGATCATCGTCCTGTTTACAAAATACAAAACAACAAATAAAAAGAAAAAAAAAATTTCCATTATTGTCATTATAAAAAAATAAAATATTCTTTGATGTCAAAAAACGAACTACAATAATATTCTTCTCATTTAGACATTGTAAAAAATAGAAAACAAAAGAAATGTTTGATAAAGATTTTTATATAAGAAATTCGCTTTCTAACCTAAATTTACAAAATAAATTTTTTTATTTTGTTTTCTATTTTAAAATAGTGAATTTTAATTAAAATATGCTAAATGCGAACAAAAAAAATAAAGGACAAAAATCCAATTTGATTTATTTTAAATACTTTTATTTTGTTTGTACATTAAAGTCAGTTTTTTTTTTTAAGAAAAGAAAGGATAATATTGAACTAGAAAGCAAGAGAACAACTGTATGTGAAAGTTTTATAGTACATGTACAATAATTATTTTGAAGCGAATGTTCTAAGCAGGAACATGTATAGAGAATATGCATGGAAATCAGAAAGCCTGTTTGATTTATATTCCCAAATTTATTTTAACTTATATTTCGAACACTTGTAATTCGGACACAGAATCTTTCATTTGTAATACTCGTACATTAAGAATATTTAATAGTTTGCCACAAATCTGAGTTTATTAGTAAACTTTGATAATATTAGTAAAACTTATCATAATATTAGTGAACTTTATATAAAAAATATATGTAGGATTATGTTGACTGAACATCATTATTGTTGCTATGAAATACACATTTCGCCGGTAACTTAAAATACACATTGCCGGTAACATGATATTCACATTTTGCCGTAACATAAGTAAATTACTGTAATTTTTTAAATCGTATGATCTCTATTACTTTGAATTTTATGATCTTTTGTAAAGCACATTCAGTGTGTATTTTATTGAGCTGCAGAGTTGTTTAATATAAATTTAAATCGAGCTATTGCGTTAAATTAGAGTAAAAACCTAACACGTGTTATGTTGTATCGCTTTGATTAATTAAAGAAATTTTGTAAATTACGATAATTATAATTGAACTCAATATTAATTTGGATAAATAAAGTGAATAAGCCCAATATTAATTTAATTTCGGATTTTATTTCCTACATATATTGAGTTTTAAATGAGAATTATGTCAGTAGCCCCTTCTCTAATAAAAGTGTAACAACATTTTTCGCCTACATGTAGCCACAAGTATTACCGAAATTTGTTTTTTGGATCCTATTAACTTTGAACTTCACAAATTTGAAATACTTTCAATGTTTTACTGAAAAAATATTGAAAATTTTAATTCCAAGTAAAAAGTAATGTGTATACATACGTACATGAATATATTCATTTATTACCACCAACGGATCTACCATATATGCAAAGTAAATATTTTCAATGAGCGCCGAAGATTAGGAGGTGCAACTGAAAAAATTCTTTCAAATTTTTTCTATTATAAGTGTTCTTCAAAAATTTTTTTCTTTCAATTTTTTAATTACTGCGAAATTATAACTTGATAGCATGTACGTACGTACAAAAAATTTTAATTCTATGCCTAATGTTTTGGTTCAATTGTGCGCTATTCGCAATGTTTTTTGCATATATTCATTGCTTTGAAACGAAAGGGGAGGCACACATTTTGGAAACCGTATAGGGCATCGAACAAGCTAGAACCGGGCTTGTTTATTACATAAGGTAATAAGATTTTGTTTAACGAACTAATATAAAACCTGAGATTTTTTTATTAATTATTGTGGTAAAACAATTTAATTTTATTTTGATTATTAAAAGATAATGGTATAAATTGCATATCTTTAAAAAACCAAAAATTTTAAAACACACTTTTTACTTGTCTGATATTTTTTTGCAAATCTATCATAAAAAATATTAAAAGTCATAATATAAAATCTTTTACAAAATGATTTCTACAAAAATTTCATTTTGATTTTACCATTTTTAATAAATTTTTAAAACCCTTGGGTTATTTATTATATATATAATATTGTTCTATATTATATTTGTTATACGTATAATATTACGATGAAGCCTTTTGATTTTTGTTTTTTGTACAGTAATAAAATGTTCATATACTATCACAGATCACGAGACATAAATTTTATATTTATAATTTTATAATCTCTGAACGTCGCTCATTTCAATTCCAATTTTCATACGAGTGCATTCAATTTGGTATAATGAAAATGAATTAATATTTATTTTGGTCTTTGTAGAAGAAAATGTTCAGTAGACATGTAAATTTTTTATATCAGACAAAATTAATTTTATTTTCTGTTTTTTAATAATTTTTATCTTTCTATCAATATAATTATATATATTTATATAATTATATATATTTATATTTGCATTTTAATTATTGTCCCCATACACCTGTAATTGAATTCGTATAAATGTTTAAATCAACCACAATTCAAAAAAAAAAAATGGAATTTGTGTATCAAGCTGTATATGAAGTATTCTGAATTTTACTAAAGGCGCTATTATTATTGTTCAGATAATATTTTACTAATTACTGATGATACAAAGGATATTATGTGAATTATAAGGGGAGTATTTGTTTTTTATGTTTTTGAAAAATGGGTCAACTATATAAAATATTTTATATGCTGGTTTAATAGATATTATAAGTTTTCTTCATCATTGCGCCAATATAATGAATAGTTGAATAATATAATATTGAAGTAAAATATTTAAAATTGTCATTAATATAAATGTTTTCTACATAAAATTGCATTTTATTATTTATGCAGGAAAGAAACGTGTAAAAAAGTTAATGCATATTGTAAATGCTCTATGGCATTGTATAAAGACTAATTATTTTAGTAAGTATAAAAGAAATTTGTTATTATAAAATAGTTTCCATGAACTCTAAATGGGATTAGATTCAAATACCTTATAGTATATTTTGAAATAATACCGAAAATGGTGTCAAATTAAATGCATGCAAGATTACCTTCCGATATGATTATAATATAGCAATTTTGTAAGATAATTTTATGTTGATTGCCATCATCATATTGTGAAGATTTTGCGTTTTTGGAATAACATTACTATTTTTATTAGGATTATAATTAGTATTAATTGAAAATGTTTAATTAATTTTCATTATTTGTTTTATTTTTTAGATTTTATTCATAATTGAAAATTTTATTACACAATTATTAGGTCCAATGAAAAGACTGAACGGTTCAGTTTTTGAAAAATATTTATAATTGCAGTAAAAACCTTAAAACGGTATGGTCTTTGAGATCAGTCTATATTGCCTTCCCAGAAGTCTTAATTAAAAATTATCATATTGAGTTACAAATTTTAACATTAAGGTCATTGAAGGAGGAAATAAGTGAATAAATAAATTTATTATCATTTATGAGAACGTTCAATTTGCTGTTTTAATAAAATCAAAAACTTACATTTCTTTTTAAATATGGATAATTTCTATTAGGTGGATTTCCAAAACCAGGAGCTGATGCAACTGCATTATGACCACCATCGAATGTATTTTCAATAGCATTTTGTGTTGGTCGATAAAATAATTTATATTCCTCGATTGGAGCAAATGAATTCACAATCCACGATATGTTATATCTGAAAATAAATAAAAAATATAAATTTGAATGTCATACAATAATTGAAAGCTAACCCAATTAATAATAATGATTTACATAAAAAAAAAAACAACAAAAAAATATATTTTCATCTTTATTCTGAATCATTATAGTAATAAAACAAGATCATCAGCACAGATTATTATGAAAAATAATATTGTTATACGGCTGTTATACTCGTATATTGAAATTTTGAAAAATTAAATTTTATTTTAAATTCGCTTCAGGCCCAAAATTTAATAAAAAAAATATACTTATATTAAATAAAATTGATGATATAGATCAAAAGATACTTGAAATTATTATAGCAGTCAAGGACATTTTACATTTCAATTTTATTTGTAATTATATTTTTTTATGGTTATTTGTAGAAAATTGAAAATATTTTATAGATACAGTTCGGTTATCAAAATAATTTTTTAACAAAAAAAAAAAAAATTATGAATAAAAATTTTAATTAAAGTAAAAGTAATTTATTTTTATTGATAAAGTCATGCTTTGTGGGAACAAAAAAAATATATGGTAATGGAAAAATTCATTGCAGAATCAATATGTGAATGGCTGGAAAACCAATCAGTGACATTCAGTTTTTAATTTAAAATTAATGCCTTTATGCAAATGATTCGTTATTCTGAAATACTTTTCAAGAGTATATTGGGAATAGTTTTTGAAAAAACTTTTATGGTCCCTAATATTGTGATTTTGGAAAAATTTTTCAGTGCTTCACTCTCAGTTCTTCTAAGAATTTAAATTGAGATGACTAAGTTGATATTGTCGCATTCAGAATGGAATTTATTTACCATATTATTACATGCTTATATTAGGTACATTAACTTTGCGTTATTAGTTAAGACAGATTAATATTTACTTATTACAATTTAACTTTATCCTTTTTAGGAACTGGACATCTTTTGCCCTAACATTAAAGAATTATTTGAAGATTTTAAAGCACTATTACAATTTATTATAATTCATCTGTATTAATCATATTCTTACCTATCTTTCCATTGACTTATTGGACCAGAACGAAATGATGGTATATTTGGTTTTCCAGTTAAAGAAATTGTTTTTCTTGCTTTTCCTAATTGATTGTCTGCTTGACAAGTATAATTACCAAAATCCGTTGAATATACTTTACGTATTATTAATGAATGTCGTGCTCCACGACTCTCCATTATATGACGCTCAGTTGTATCTATTTGCATCGTATCTTTTAACCATGTTACCTATTATTAAAATAAAAAAGATTGATGAAATTAGTATGTAATAATTTATATTCAATTTAAAAATAATGATAAGAGCTGATGAAAATATTAAAAATTTTATGTATAAAGATTATTTGTAAAACACATAACCGAACGTTGTACAAATTTCGTTCATGACGTATTAAAAAAAGAAATTGATTATGGCAATCAATACAGATCATAGTACTCGTATGTATACATTTACGCCTAACTTTATGCAATAGTTATGTATCATGTTAAATCAATAATTATTAGTATGTAAGTATATAAATAAATACTGTTATAAAGGCTAATAAATACTGTTATAACGGATAATGTTATAAAGGCGATATACACACAAACACATATATGAATATAACAATACTTATGTGTTATATGTATGTAAACTTTTTTTTTGTTGAAAAAAATTGAAATGTGAGAAATTAATGGGTTTGTAATTCAATTATAATTCATTTATTATATTATATGGCTGAGGATATTCAGAAAAAATGTGATGAATGGTAACGGCATGGTTAATAGAATGTGTAGATTGATATAAATAATTTAATATATAAGCTATATAACCTAAAAGTATAATTATATATTATATAAAAATTAAAATCAAATTATTGATTTGTTAACAGCCTTTTGGGGTCAATAAAACAAAGAGGAAATAAATGAAAAAAAATATGGTTAACTCTTCATTTTTAAAATTGAAAGTAATATTAAATTTGTAAAAAATTCAAAATCAATATAAACACGTTATGACCCAAATAAAAGTTGAATTTAATTGAATTTCATTAATGGTCATATAAATAGAGGGAGTTTTCCAATAAGCTTTAATAACTAAATTAAATTACACACGTAGATACAATGTAATTTTCAATTTAAAAATGAAAAATATTTTACATGATATATTCAACTTTATGAAGAATATGGCAGTTCCAATATAATTTAAAAATCGCACCGGTCAGATTGATCGTCTCTAACTAGTTTTCGCAAATGCAAATTATATACTGTTCATCTACAAAAGAACGAGCGTGGGCAAGTAAAGCTTAAAAGGAATCGTGTTAAAAGGAATTGAAATATTTAGATATTTTAAAAGTTTTACAATTTAAATCCCTACACTATAAAAACCTTCTTAAATTAATTGAATCAATTATATATTCTTTTTATTCATTTAAATTTACCTCTGGTTGTGATTCACCGTGAACAATACAAACAAGCACTGCTTCCTGACCTTCTCCACTATACACAACTGTTTTTTCTACTGTTATTTCCGGTGGATCTATATGGGAAAAATTCAATAAAAATGTTTCAAAGTTTTATTCTAAATGTATTAAAGATAAACTAAAATTGCTGCTTAAAAAAGTCAAACATATCATCTCTAAATTAGTTCTATTAAATCAGTTTAATCTCTTCAAAAAACCCTCTGTAAATAATTTCCGTAATTTCTAAATAGTTTCAAATTGAACAAAAAAAAATTTCTTAAACTAGACACAAGCGCTTAACTAAAATGGGTAATTAATTACAAAATAAACGATTATAGGTCATATTATATGAAAGCCCAGTCATTTATACTATGAGGTAATTAAATTTAAATAAAAAGTTTTCGGAAGAACAAAAAAGTTTCTTTATAAACTGACGAACTACTTTAATGAGACCGACCATAAATAAAATTTTATTTTCTGAATTTCTTTATAAACATACATAAATAATTCTTTTAAAAATTCAAATATTTGTAATTAATGCTAAAGGGAACTAGTGCTGCAGGTTATGCAACAATAAGTTTTCTCTATTAATTCAAATATTTAGAATTAAGAAAAGAGGGAAAACAACTTATAAAATTCAATTGAATTACTTTTTGTTTACAAATTTTTTTTTACCTTTTAGACCTTTTTTTTGTATTCTCATAATATGCTTAACATTATATGCCTATACACACACACATATATTACATTGAATCTCTTGTTTATTAAGAATGAACACAGAAAGAAAGAGAAATGGTGGACGTCTGCTTTAATACACAAGCATTTAAGTTAACAAAAAGCATTTTTCTATAAATAGACTAACTATGTAATTTGATTTTCATTACAGAATTAGGCATACAAAAAAAAGGACTTTTATATTTTTTATTAAAGTAAATTACGATCTAGTATTTTAGAAATGAGAGAAAAAATTAGTACAAACACATACGAGTATAAAAATTTTTTTTTTCATACAACTACTCTGAGCTTTGACTATATTACTTTTCGGCTAATAAAAGGTTAATTTAATTAATAATGGTAAATTAAATCCGGAAATATGTAAAAACTTATGTTAAGTCAACTGTATTTTTTACTTACACAAATTTAAAAGAATTTTATTTATTTTTTTTCTTTATTTCTGTTTATTGGGTAGGTACTTTGATGATCCTACATAATATAAGAAGACTACAAAGATGTTATAAATATGGTCCCTCTCTATTCTATACTTGAGGAGCATTTTTAATATTACGAACTAAAAATTTAATCGAGGGTTAAGTCTAACTAAAATTAGTTCTGTTAAACACACATAAACATGTAATATCTAAAATGCTAAGTACGGAAAATATTTTGTTTACTTTTTATTTACCTATACGTCTTGTAATGTACCTGTACCTATGTGTATTATGCGATAATAGTGCAAGCAATTTGAATAAAAATAAAAGATTAGGGTGATATTGGCTTACATAAAAATAAAAATGTGAATAAATTACTAAATTAAACAAAAAGAAAAGACAAAAAATTATTAAAGTTTTATAAACTCGCAGTTAAAAGAACTATTCCACTATGTGTGTAAGTGTGTAAGTAATTTATTAAAAGATATTTCAGTGTGGATAATCCTAACCGGAAGACTTCAGAGTAGTTAATTATAGAGTAAATTTTTAATAAGAAAAACATATTTAACGTGAACAAGAAGATTAAGTGGGAGGTAGATAATGTGGGAGATTGTCTGACAGATGCGGTTGGTTTAATAATACAAAATGTAAACACTCTAAATAAATTCAATAAGAATTGAGAAAATTTGAAAATTTAATTAAAGTGTTAATAACTAGTTATAAAATTTTATAAAACTTACATAAAACATGTAAAATAATTTGACTTGATGCTGGCTGACCTACACCATTATTTGCTGTACATGTATATGTTCCGCCTTTATGTCGATCCATATTTTCAATTATATAAACATTAGAAACATACCTATCCTCACCTGTAAATTAAAAAAAATTAATAAAAATTATTATTTTTCACAAAATTTTATCTAATTATAAAAAATAAGAAATGAAATACAAAAAAAAAATTTGTCAATAAAGTAGGAGACAATGAAAGCCAATTAATATGAAATCAATATTGTCTTTTAAATTACGAAATCAAGAGTTGGTGGAAGTCGTAAGAAATCAAGAATAAGATACATTTCTGTTTAAACTTTTACGGGTATTGAAGTACTGGTAATTTCGACTAACATTTCCAAACCAACCAAAAATTGTTTCAAGCAAAATCAAGCATCTGGAATAAGTTTTAAATTATAATTTAAATTCTTTATATACCCGACACCATTAATGAACTTATAGGGTGAATATAGGATTAACAACCACTTAACACAGTCGTCTGATCAGTCATCTGAGGTCTGTCGCACGTTTGACTTAAATAAAATTTTAGCAATAATTTGGCGGTCGCTCAAATACCCCGTCTGTCCGTCGTCAATCACAGGAATTTAATACGAAATTCAGAAACAATTTTAGCATCCAAAGCAATGTGTAGCTGTGTGTTTTGTTGTTGAATCTAGGCTGTATAATAATTTGCCGACTGATCTCAAAGATATTATGAACATTGCAGTATTTAGAAGGTTTTAATTCTAATGTATACATATCTATAACGTGTTTATATAGATTCGTATAATACCAATACGGTGCCAGAACATTTTTAATTTTGAATTATTTACTTAACGCTTTAAGAAAAAGAGAATAATATATAAATTAATAAATAATAGTTTTGGTAGCCGCCATCCTTAAAACAAATTTTAAAAGTTTGTTATCTGGAAATTAATGGTTACTTCTTAATTAAAATTCATAAAATACTTTCATGAAATTTATGTAAAGAAAATTGATTATAAATGTGCTCTACATTTTTAATAATAATTCATTCTTTTATTTCATACCACAATAGCCAGAGAGATCTAGCTAATCTTGCCGGAGATATTATAATATTTCGATATCAAAAAAATCTGTGATTTTCTAATAAAAAATAGCCTTATTATAGGTAATCGAAAATGGCATTTAATAACGGAAAATAATGTGCAAATATTCTGAAATTAATTTTTCTTCTCACTGAATAGAAGATTAAAAAAAAATAATCAAGAAATATTGAAAAAACAAATAAAACATAAAAGCCTTGAAACACATATGTTTAGAGAATGACCTAGATTTCTTATTTTATTTACTACCTACATTTTAGGCATAACAAATAACTATAAAAATAGAAAAAAGACCTTACAGAATCTAAAGATTTACGAGAATAACCTATTTTTTTTCTACCGTTTTTTTATTTTTTTAATTTTCAAATATTTCCTTGAAAGTGTTACAAATCGACAAATTTTAAATTAAATTTTAGATAAACCAATGTATGCATATGTGAATCTATACACAAAATATTCATAAGAGTATACTCGTACACATTATTATGTAAAGTTTTTATTCATGTAATGTAAGTAAGTATTTTGAAGTGGAAATTCGAATGCTATATGTATTTTCAACCGGAATCTGGACAAAAATTTATAAAATGTTTTTCCTTTTATGTAAACATTATGCATAATATTGTATATACAATATTCTGTACGTAAGTTGAACTTTTTCATGTATTAATACGAGTATAAGCATTACATCCTGAAATTTATCAATTAAGTTTTTAAAAGAATTTATATTGAGGTGTATTATAGATACACCGACTGGGTACTATCCATTGGTCAAATTTGCATTCTATTTATAAACTGTTTCTTTACAATTACTCGCATATCATTGAAAGTGTCGTGTCTTTTAGACGTAGGTTCTAAATAAACCTTATCTTAACATATTTTATCCTAAAATATTTGACACTTTTGACAAATTAGAACTATTATATGATTTTGATAAAGGATGGGAATTTAAATACAACTAAATTTTGATTCAGTAATTTCGAACGTGCATAAATAACCGAAAGTATGTTAAGATTTACGGCAATAATAACTTAAACTCTAATTGAAATAAGATCACAAAATTTTCACAGGGTCATGCGGCTAACAATGATATAAAAGTTATAACTGTCTTTAACTGAAATCGATCCGAACACCGTTTTTAACAAAATCAATCCGAACACTTTAACCAAATTCGATCGAGACACCTTTTCATGTAGCTAAGTATATAAATTCAAAAGTAATTTGATCATGAAAAATATCAAAGAAGAAAAGAGTTTATAAGGTCGTAGGTATTGCTGAATGAATCCATACTACTATATACGATTTATTATTAAAATTACATTTTAAATTAATATAAAACAGATTCTCATCCAGAGTACCGAATTTCCTAACTAAATTTCATTCATGTCAGTAATCAATAACAAAATATTTTACAAAAAAAAAGGACATCAACTTTAATTTTTTAATCTCTTTAAAATTTAATAGGAATTTCTTGCTCAAATTGAAATAATTTTATTATTACATACATAGATAAATAATATGACCATATATAATATAGAATAAGTGTTTTTAATGTTAAGTCCAATTCCATTAGGATACCTCGGGATATCAATGATCTATTTAAAATTTTTCTTTATTTATTTTTATTTTTGCATGTCTCATTTTTACATGTGGTTTATCGATTTTTATTAAATTAATATTATACATGTAATATGCACATATATAAGTACAATATGCAGGTAGATGAAGAGAATAATTTAATGTTATCTATACAGGATAATTCAATTGAAAAGGAAAAGCGTATACAGTAAGTGTTCACAATATGTGCATTTTTGGTGATGGAAGTAAGCAAATCTGTTACATCAATTGTATTTTGTATCTCGCAAGTATATATATACATATATGTATAGATTGTGTGTGTGTTATTTTAAATGTATTAAGGGTAAACAAGATATTTTTAATATCCTTTTGGAAATGGTTTTTAACGCGAGCGAAACAAAAAAAAAAACAAGTTATTTTTGCCGCTTTTTCTGCTGGAAAATATTCTTTTTACTTACTTATTGCGTTTTTGTAAAATTTTCTCTGTTTTTAATTTTCTCTCTTTATACTTACATAGGTACTTGGTTTTTTTTTTTTTTTTTTTTTATTAAATGCAGATCCTTGTGCTTTTTTCTTGTTTTATATTTAATATATTTTATTGTTATTTATTAGCGTATTTTATTACAAAAACTTTCATAAAAGGATTTATTTACAATCACGTTTTATTTTATTATCATTTCGTTTTTTTCGCGTATTTGGTATAGCGAAATGGCAAAATAAGAAAGAAAAGTAGATAAAAACGGTAAGAGATTCAAATATCAATGTTATTTTATATCCTCTTTTCTCTTTTACTCATAGTGTGCTCGCTTCTCTCTCCGTATTCCATCCCATTATTTAATACCGGGTCTACTGCATTTTCATTTCACTTCGTCCTTTCCATAAGGCTCCATTCCTTCTCTCTTTTAGTTTATATTTAAAGAAGGGGTGGTGTGAAATGAAATGTAAAGCTTTTAATATGTAGACCATTGCAAAATGGTGAATTTACTTTTTTTTGTATTTCCTTTGTTATTATAGAATTTTTCTTCCAATTTTTTTTTATTTTTGTATTTTGAATGTGATTAAATTGCCTGATTTCAGCTTTAAAATCAATGGACATAAAATTTCTTAGAAAAAATTTTATTTTAAGGAATTAATTTACGCAAAATGACCAAAAAGTATTCACAATGTGGTATTTAACAACTCCAGCATTTGAGAAATTTAAAAAAATGAAATTTTTGGTGTAATTTACAAAATATAAAGTACGCACTTTCTTACATAACATGGTGTCGAATATATAAGACGATTCAGGGTGTTCTTATCTGTGTTAGTATCTGTGATCTTAAAAATTACTAGCTATTTTTAAAAAAAAATAGTTGTTATCTTTTAAATTTACCTATAATTTTATAAAATCATCTTGAAAGATGATAAAAAAATTTGTTTCAAAACTTATTCGATTTCCATATTTCTAATCATATTTTAAAATAATCTCGAGATTCCAATTTTTTTTGTAAAACTTAAAACTTTAAGAATACTAAAAATAAAGAAGTATTATCTTCTTTCCTGAGCAGCAGGATATATTAAATATTTTTTAATACTTAGTCATTATGTTCTTATTATAAACATATTTCAAAGCCTTTCGTTGATATTTCCTATATTATAACGTTACTCAACAAAAAATAACTCTAATACAAAAAGCTTAATACCTACTTAATTGTAATCATAGTTTTTCATTTTGTTATACTAGCTTTGACCCATTATAAATAATAAATGTGAAATAGTCGTATTAAATTATTGTAGTTATAGTATACTTCCGTTTAAATATAAAGTAAACTGGAATACAAGAATAAGCAAAAAAAAAAATAATAACCTGGTAAGGAATTAAAACAAAAAAAAATATTGTCCTTTTTTTGTAATAGAAGAGAGAATAAGCGAACAAATTACAAAATGACACGTAGATATCGCAGTGTTACGGACTATGTAGAACGAGATTACTATTTACAGGCATCCCATGGCTATTGGAATAAATAATTTGCTTTATATATATTTTAGTTGAACAGAGATAGTTGTTAAAAAAATTTTATCATATTGAAAGGTGTTACCAGTTAAAGCATATTGAATATTTTTTAGCGATTTATTTGTTGTGTCAATATTTTTTTTTCTAAAAACACTGAAAGTTCCCCTATAGTGCTGCAATAATAATTAGTGCAGTTTATGTTTTCAAAATTGTCAACAAAATTTTATAAAAACAATATTTGAATTGAGCAAATATCGAAGTTACTTTTATAGATTTTTAACATAGGATCTGTATATTATTGTTTTACATCTTAAATTGTCCTGTACGAAAACCTGCATGGGAAAATGTATAGAAAACTAAGTGAATCCTACATCTACTCTTATCAACTTTTACTTTGACTCGAGAGCTTTTTTCGACTACCTTAATCTTTAATATTAAAATAGTTCTAAAAAATTACGAATAATTTTTTTTAACACATTTTCATTAGTGCTCCAATTTTGAAAGGTTTCCATAATATAGTTAAATTTTTGAACAACAAACCAATGCTATGTGCTTTTCTCAAAATTTATTACAAATTGCTATAATTTCAAATTTTTCAGTGACAACACTATTCAAAATTAAGATAAAAGATTATATTGAGAATGAAATGTATATACGTATAAACAAACAACGACATAGAAAAAACGGCAAAATAAAAAAAAGCAAGGAACAAACCAACAAGGATAATAATAATAACAATAATAATAATGAAAAAATAAACATTATTCTAAAAGATAAAAAAAATGTTTATTTGTAACCAACACATTTGTATTTACTTCAATAAAAAATAAATAATATACAACACTGTGTAGGTATGTACATATATATATATACATATATATACACAAGGTGATTGAGTAATCAGTGACATAATAAATTAAGGGCATCCTAAATACCATCATTTAGGGCTTCAAAAATGAGTAAAATTTTTGTTCATAACTAAGTGTCAAATTTCAACGGAGGTACGAGTTTGATTTTAAAGAATTTTCTGAACAAGTGGTTTTGCTTGTAACTTCCCTTTCGAAAAAGATAGAAGCTTCCACATCTCAAATAAATCAAATATACAATTTGAAGAAACAGGCCTGTAACCGACATAGTTTTTTATTTAGTATTTTGTGTACTTTCGGAATATAAAGCATTTTCCCTTTCTTTTACCCGATAATTTAATACAAAATTTCCAACCCGAGAATTTCGTACAAAATTTTTTGATACTTCAAAAATTTTTTTTACAGAATTTTGTACAGCTACTTCAGCTGTAATTTAGGTAATTAAACGTTAAAAAATCCGTCAGATAATAGGAGGTATATTACAATAACTATTTCTATGTCATGATTTCAAAACCCTTAACAAAACGTAGAAACTCAAAAAATTGTCACTTTTTAGACTTTTATTGATTATAAGGGTTGTTATTATCAACTATCATTAATTTTTGATTACAATAGTCAATATAGAAAGCAGTCGACTTTTTTGTAGGCCATTTTTGCAAAGAAAAAAAAACGAAATTTTATGTTATGTCACTGGTTACTGAATCACCCTGTATATATTATATGCACAATATAAAGTAAAAAAATAGAAATGAAATAATAAATGAAATAATAATCTTACCATTTGGCAGAATATTATTTTTTCTGGTCCATGTTATATTTGGTGTTGGATTGCCTTGTGCTGAACATTCTAATCGTACGGGTGAGCCTTTTTTAACTTGTATGAGTCCGCCATTTGTTACGTGATGAATTTTTGGTGGAACTTGAAATGGATAATGAAAAAAATGAAAAAAAAAGAAAATTATTATTTTGTTTTTGTTTTTTTTGTTTTTGGAAAACTCTTGTTTATTATGATGATTCATTTTCATCTTGTTTTTTTTTTTATGTTTCCTTTTCTTATTCCTACTTTATGAAAAATAATTTTCATTTAGTTTTTTTTGGCACATTTTTGATTTTTCTTTTATTATTTTGACTTTACTTAACTTATAAATATATTACATACATACATATTTTTTTCTTATATTTGGTCATATATAAAGTTGTAACGTAATTGTACATACAAGTGTATGAACAGTAAAAAATGTGTTTATTCATAGTTACTTTATTTGTACTCATATTTAAATAGCAATACGTGAATGTGTATGTATACAAAGTAATTTATTTGAGACGAACCGTGAGAAGTTTATAATAAAGTAAAATAAAGTGGGAGCGCGAAGAGTAACAAATTTGTTTATGTTTCTCGTTTCCGGAACGTTGCTTATACCTAACCTATTAAAATAACCAAAAACAGAAAAATGAAAGTAATTTTGTACGTTAATTTCTTAATGACAAAATGGAGAACTGAAAAAAAAAATATTATTTTTTATCATTTCCGTAAAAATAATTTAGTTTATAAGAAGATTTTCTCATACTTTAATACTGAAAATTATTTGGTAAAATAAATTTTATTTATGATTTTTAAAATTGATGCTGGTCTGCAAGATATTAATTTTTATAAAAACATTTTAATGAAAAACATTTATAAAAATCACTTGTAACTTTGAAAATATTGGCATGTCTCTTTGAATAAAGAAATTATGAAAACTCTAAAGAACGACTGACATATTTGTTCCATTTACAGAAATTTTACGCTCATTGCATTTTAGTGTCTAGTGTTTCTCTGATAAAGTGGCAATCTTATAGAGATGTGGTTAAATTCACAAAATTGAAACTTATAAAACTTTATAGACGACAAATAAAATTTTTATTTATATAGGGAAATTTGGTTAGAAAATTTAAATTTTCCTAATAAATTAAAAATATTATTAATTAATATTGTAAAACAATAGTAAAATTTTTTAACAATTACAAAAAATTGCATAATTATTGGCGTAAACTTATTTTTTCTATAATAGTATCATAAATAAAATATGTTTGAATAGAATAATTATGACGATTTTGAATTGCAGGCCAAAGATATGGGTTGTTCACATTTTAATCTGATAATATGCAAAAATATTACACCGGGTAATTTGTTTTTCGTATTTTCCCTATTTATTTTAATTATAATTGTAAATATGCGAATAATAACTCCTGAATAAAATATGAATTTCGTCGTCTGTTTTTGATGTATTTATAGAGATCTAATTTAAAACTAAATCTTTCTACTTGCTTTCAAATATAAATATCTAGTAAATTTACCCATATTAATTTCAACTTATTTTGCAGCATTCTTATAAAGGACTATTTAATTAAATATAAAAATTTAAAGCAAATTCAGTCATATTTAAAAATTTTCCAAGTTATAAAAAATTTAAAGAACTTCTAATGAAAAATACAATGACTTTATATGTACATACAAGTGTATATGATATCATAATTAAGATAATAGACTTTTCTACTCTGTCATATTTCCATATATATATTTAAAATTAATGAAAAATGAAAAAGAAAACATAATTATAATAATAATAAAAATTAAATTTATTGTTTTCCTAAGGGTGAAACACCTTGTCAACAAAACAATAATAGGCGGTAAAGTTGGCTAGAATGTTAAACATATCTATACTATACGTACAAGTATATTCATAACACATGTACCTATAGTTATTCGCACATAATATTTTATATTGCCACGAATCTATAGAAATAGTATAGGTAGATATATAAAAAAAATTTCTTTTGTTTTTTATATTAAATTATGAAGTTGAAAAATTTCTTCATACTTTATTTTTTTGTCTCTCGAATATTTTCTTGTTTAATTTTTTTTTTCTTAATATTTTCTCATTATTTTAGAAAACAACAAAAGATTTTCTCACTGATAATAATAATTTACGGAAAAGAGAATTCAGTGACAAGGTTATAAAATACGCCGCTCTTTAATTTGCCAATAATCATTTATTTGAAATCTTAGAGTTTATTTTAAATTTTATTGTATAAATTTTAATTTTGATCGGAATTTCATGTCAATTTAAGGATGGTTCTATATTAAACATGTAAGATTTTAATAAAAAAAAACAATTCCAAGATTGTGTTTATTGAAATATTATGGGAAATTAGAAAAAAACATGTTAGAAACAACTCATTATGAGCAATGCTAAAACAGGGAAAAATTTCAGGAGCATAATCAATATTGTCTTTCGGTTCCGACGAACAAAATCACGGTATACAAAATTAACAGCCAAAGAAAAGGCATTTTACAAAAATTGATTGTTTTTATTTTTGCCAATTTAAGTTAATTTTTTTTTTTGGTTTATTTCTTTTATGCCCTAATTTTCAACATATTATTAAACAAATATTATAAACATAAAGTACAATGTTGAAAATTGTGGTTTCTTAGGAGACTCATTTCATTTTATTTTAATTTTTGTTTTTCTAAAATTAATTTATATCTTCATTTCCATTTGTTTTTTTTTATCCTGATGAAAATGGTAAACAACAATAGAATTTAATTTTGTTTTTGTCTCGTTTTTTTTTTTTCATTTTTCCTTGTTATGCCTCTTATTTTAATAAAAATAATTTTTTACTTGTTGAATATTTTATGAAATGACTTTTGGGATCTTTTATATTCCAATCAAATAATTTATTTGAACTAAATATAATTCTAATGTTTATACGTTCATGAGGGATTACATTAAAATGAAAAAATAAAAAATTAAATATTAAAAAATTTTGCGCTCCAAATGATCGTATGTACGTATAATGATTTGCAAACTGCTAAACCTTAATTTAAATATTGTTTCTTACACATGATTAAAATAACATTAGAATTCAGTGATTTTTTGTTTAATATTATTCCAGTTTAATATTTTTATATTTTTTTAAAAATAACGAGGAGATAAGGTAATGTGATTGCTTATGCGTTCTTTATAAATTAAAAAATTAACAGTATATTGTTACCAATTTAACAATAATGACAATATTTTAGTGGAAAACTCCTATAACTTTGCATTAGTATTAATTCATACATAGGAATGAGGTTAGAAAACCACAATTTCAACTTTGATTATTGTGGACAGATAAGTTTACAAAAAGGCGATATATTTGTATTAATGGCTTCGATTATCATTTCGAAGCTACGCTCCCACAATGTATGCACTTCTTTAATAAAATTCTTAGAACCAAAAAATTATTTTATTCAAAAATCTCATTCATACCTCATAGTTGGTTCAACTCACATTTTATATATTAAAAAATATTTCGTTGCTAAAACTGTATTTTAAGATTTTTATTTAGAAAAATATCTCATTGAAATCAAATGTTATGAATTACGATGTTATTCCTCTTGTTCATTTTCCTTGTTTTCGAAACAATTTAATTGAATTTTTTTTAGAAATTTTGTGAAAAAAAATATGCTTTAATTTTAGATGATAAAAAAAATAATAAAAAAAAAAATTCTTTTAGCCCCGCATCCGTTATTTCATTTCTCAGAAAATCTCATTACCTTAAAATATGCCCTGTAGAATAAGGGAAAATTAATCTTTAAAAAAAAAAAAAAGACAAAAATTTTTAGAAATAAAAAATGGTATCACTTAAATTATAAAACGATATTAAAAAATTGGGATCATTCCACTTTAATCCCAGAAAAAATACATAAATTTTTATTTAACAAGGAAAAAATAATATAGAAAAGCGAATATAAGGTTTAAGTATTTCAATTAAATTGTAGCTTATGTTAAAAATTCAACGTGGGCAATGTTATAAAAATATCTCTATTTGAATCTAATCTAAATTTTTAATTAATATTTTGAATTAGGTACAATTTGAAGGTAAATTTTTGATTTGTAAACAATTATTATAAATTACATTTTATCCATATTAAAAATTCTGTAAATAATTATGTATAAAACTATATGAAAAGTAAAATATACTTACTTAAAATTTCTACATGATGAATTATTTCTTTTGGTTCCAATGTGGCTATTTGGCAAATATAATCACCAGCATCAGCTGGTGTTGCATCTCTAATTTGTAATGTATTACCATTAACTAAACTAATTCGGGGATCAGGTGATACCCTTACAGAACCTGCTGTTAATATAGCAATTCCTCGTTTCCACGCTAAAATATATTGACCTGGAAAAATAACAAGGAAAATATGATTAAAGAAGAAATTTTATTTAAAATTTTTATAAAAATTTTGAACATTTTCAAATGAAATTTTTTATAATAATATTAGTTTTAATCCCTCTTAAAATGATGAGTTCTATGCGTATCAAAACCTTAAGTCTGCCGTAGCAGGAAAACCTATTTGAAAATGTTTGACCTACAACAAGTACAGTAGCTGAAAAATATTTGTTAAGCGAAATTAACTTAGAATATAATAAGATCCCTGCACAGGATTCAGTAAAATTTCAATCAATATAAAGCATTTCAATAAACTGAGTTTGTAATCAATTTAAATTTTCCTATGATTTAATAAATATTTAATCTAATATTTAAAAGTTTTCGAATGAACAGTTTTCCAATCAAATTCAATAATTTATTGTGGAAGAGCGTTCATAAATTCCACTAAATATAAAATTAGCACTTTATGCTACGTTTATATAGCAACTTTATTGATTCTGATGTTTATCTTCATCTTTTATGTGCTAAAAGAAATTTTGTTAAATCCTGTTAAAATTTTTTAAGATTTTCTAATAAAGCGGAAATAAATATTTTATAGACAGAGCTAGCAAGCCAAAAATAATCATATAAAATAATCTGAAAATAATAACTTCTCATTTATAATGTCTGATTGCAGAATGTGTACATACACTTTTATATATATTATTTATTAACGAATGTTATCATGTGAAATCGAAATAACCGCAGAAAACCATAAAAGTCGAAGTGATCTTCGAAAAAATCCACCAGAAATAAATAGATAATTTTTTGCTGTCGTTTCGAATGTTCATTATTTTTAGGATTTTATTATCAAGCAAAACTAATCCTCATTCTATACAATATTTTTAGGCTTCTCTTATATTTTAATCTATCTTTCTCTTTTATATCAATATACTTCTATATGAAACATTCAATGACACATAAATATAATTTTATATTTTCCTCTCAATAATACATCAAAAACATACTTTCAATCGTATTATCCTTAATCTGATTTTGTAAAAAATAAAAGAAAAATAAAACGTAAAACAAAAAAATTGAGAAAATAATAAGCAAAACAAAAATAGTGGAATGTTTCATATTTTCTTTTTCTCTCTTCTTTCTCGTATTTGTTCTAATTTATTTTTTTTTCCTTTTATAGTCCAAGATTATATGGCAGAGTCCTTCCGAAGAAATAATAATAAAATTACTAGGTTCATATTTTATTATTCAATGAATTCTTGGAATATTATATAAGACTTCATATTGAAAATCAAATCGTTATCACAATATAGGATATTAAAAAACAAGAAAAAAAAATTGAAATTTTGGAATGAACCCGAATGACTCAATCATCTATTAATACGATAGCTATATGTATATAATGTCCATAATAACGAACTTTACAAAATATACAAAAATTTCCTCTACGTGTGCACATTTTGTATGAAAAGTATTAAACAGGGTGCTTTTTGTCAAAATAATTATTGAATTCTGAAAGAAGTAAGTCTGCAATATCGCATTTAATAATGTAAGCTAATTTTACATGATAATGCTGCTGGTTTTATTTGGCACATTTGTTATATATGACGTGGCTTATTTTCGTTGTGAATAGATGGCTTGTAAACTGCGTGTATCGTAAAAATTATTACTGTAGAAACCAAAATTTTGAGAAAAATCTCATGATAATTTTTTTATAATGTTTTACATCTGTTGCTTAGTTGATTGAGCATTCTCCCTTAAAAATGTTTGCAAAATGGGGGTCGTGCAAAATTTTAAAATTTTTTATTTTTTTGCCTAGGTAGTTATTTTAAAAAGTTTTATTTTTTTGCCAAGGTCGGGGGTCGTTCAAAATTTTAAAAAATTTTTTAATTTTTTGCCAAGGTTGGGAGTCGTTCAAAATTTTAAAAAATATTTAATTTTTTGTCAAGGCCGGAGGTCGTTCAAAATTTTAAAAAATTTTTAATTTTTTGCCAAGGTCGAGGTTCGTTCAAAACTTTGAAAAATTTTTAATTTTCTGCCAAGGTCGGGGGTCGTTCAAAATTTTAAAAAATTTTTAATTTTCTGCCAAGGTTGCGGGTCGTTCAAAATTTTCAAAAAATTTTTAATTTTTTGCCAAAGTCGGGGGTCGTTCAAAATTTTCAAAAAATTTTTAATTTTTTGTCAAGGTCGGAGGTCGTTCAAAATTTTAAAAAATTTTTAATTTTTTGCCAAGGTCGAGGGGCGTTCAAAACTTTGAAAAATTTTTAATTTTCTGCCAAGGTCGGGGGTCGTGCAAAATTTTAAAAAATTTTTAATTTTCTGCCAAGGTTGCGGGTCGTTCAAAATTTTCAAAAAATTTTTAATTTTTTGCCAAAGTCGGGGGTCGTTCAAAATTTTTAAAAAATTTTTAATTTTTTGCCAAGGTCGGAGGTCGTTCAAAATTTTAAAAAATTTTTAATTTTTTGCCAAGGTCGAGCGGCGTTCAAAATTTTAAAAAATTTTTAATTTTCTGCCAAGGTCGGGGGTCGTTCAAAATTTTCAAAAAATTTTTAATTTTTTGCCAAGGTCGAGGGGCGTTCAAAATTTTAAAAAAATTTTAATTTTCTGCCAAGGTTGCGGGTCGTTCAAAATTTTCAAAAAATTTTTAATTTTTTGCCAAGGTCGAGGGGCGTTCAAAATTTTAAAAAATTTTTAATTTTCTGCCAAGGTCGGGAGTCGTTCAAAATTTTAAAAAGTCTTTAATTTTTCGTTAAGGTCGCAGTCGTGCAAAATTTTAAAAAAAATTTTAATTTTTTGCCAAGGTCGGAGGTCGGTACCGCTTTGCACTACCCGAATTCCCTGAAATGCTCGCCAGTTATTTTCGGTAACAACCAGAACTTAAATATTAAATTTTAAGTAATTCCATCAATTCGTTCCGTAGATATGGTGAGAAATGTAAAACCGGCCCGCAGATCAGTTTTCGTGCCCTGATCTTTTCAAAAAATTTATGCGTTCATTGTTTTAGTACCAAAAATTTAAATATTAAATTTCAATGAAATCGGTTGATTATTTCTCTTTATATACGCAAAAATTTATATTTGGCCGGTAGTAAACGTCCAGTTGCTGATGCCTGATTTCTTCCAAATATATAAAATTTCAAGTAAATCGGTTAAATATTTTCTTTAAAGTGGTCAAAAATGTAAAACAGGTCCGCTAAAAAATGCAGTTCCCGAGGCCTGATATATCTCAAAACTTGATCAGTCCGTGGCACAGTCGAAATAAACTTATACATAAACTTTCATCAAAATCGGTTCAGCCGAACTTTAGATATGCGCGTACACACACAGATCGACAGACCGACAGACCGACAGGTTACTAAAAAATAAAAAAAATACCAAAAATGAAGCTAATTGCCTATTTTTTTTACAAATTCTTTAATAAACTTTAAAAAATCTTTATCTTGAATTCTGTAAGGTCCTTATTACATAATTCCATTTTGCGTTGCAACCTTTTATTAACTTTTTTTAAATGAATTTTACATTACAAAAATTACTCTGCATTGCATTATAAATTAGGTAACAGTATAACATATAATTGTTATGTAACAGATTAAAATAAATTTGTAACATTGTAAGCTAATTTAAATTTTATTGTAATATTAAAACTGTTATTAAGGTAGTTACAATATTATTATTGCTGTTGTTTTCATAATAATAAATAATTTGGAATATAATGCTTGCGCACGTACACAAATTAAATTCCAATTTGTGTGTTTGTTTTATATAGAAAAAATGTAGCAATAATTTTGGAAAATTTAATATTATTTATTATAACTTTATTATAACATAATTTAAAAAGTTACTTTTAATCGTTCTATGCACTTTTAGTTGGTCTTATTAAGATTTTTTTGAATGCTCTAATTAATTATTTCTTACCATTTTATAGATTGAAAATTTTATTGAAAATCTAAATATTTAATAAATTTTTTTTTCTAATTGCAATTCTTAAAATAAAAGAATTATGCTTAGGTTTAAAATCGAAAGTAAAAAATTTTAACATTTGAGTGTCTTTTTTACACATAAATAAGTTTAACTGCAACATTGCCAAACTATTCTGCACAATTATTTTAGAAATAAAAAACTATCTTGTGTTTGCAAAAATCAAGAGCTTGAAAAATATTGAGATTACTTTTAAAGATATAAGATTATTTATTACTGTTATAGGCCCATTATCTTCAATTTTACAATTTTAAGAAAACCCTTCTTATATACTCGTACATTACTAACTTATATACATTTTAATTACTATACTCATATACATTTTTCCAACTCCGCGATTAATCACTTTTATATCACCCACCTATAATTAGGAAAAAACAAATAGTTAACTGCTTTAATAGAAAACGAGAAAAAATAGAGTTGACCGTGTCAACTCTGTGATACCCGTACGAATTTGTTATCGAATAAATATGCAATAGCTGACTATGGAACAGACTATGACTTTAAGTTGCCATATTACCACATTAATTTATCCAAATTTCAGTACTGTGTTTTCAATATTTTCCAAGAAAGACCCAAGCAATTTCAACGAATTTTATCAAACAAATCTTCCCAATTAACATATTCGCTTGTGTGAAATTTCATTATCACAGCTTTTATAGTTTCTAAGATATAGTCAAATAAGTTTTGAAGTTGTATGGCAGCTAATCGAACCAGTCTTCCGATCATATGCAATTTAAATAGGGTTCAGGCTAATACTACAATAAATCATCTGTGAAAATTTGATGAACTTAGTTCAATTAGTTTTTGCGTTATCGTTGGGACGGATGGCCGGACGGGCGGACGGGCAGATAAAGCTAAATCGACTCAGAATTCGACGCTGATCAAAAACATACACTTTCTTAGCGTTACAAACGGTAAAGCAAATTTAGTATACCCTTCGAACATACGTTCGTACGGGTATAAAAAAAAATTATTTTTTTTGTACTATGATTTTTTTGTTACTATTTTTTAATAAAGTGCAAATTATTTTTTAATTATGTGATTTAATAAAGGAATTACTTAATTATAGCAGTTTTTTGTTTTATTTTCGCAAAATTTTGAAATTTAATAAAATATAATTGCATTCAGTCATTGTTATCATATACAGTTTAATTTTTTAACTTTGTCACATTGAAGACAAAAAAAAAAAACAAAAACATAATTATTACCATATAGACCTAACCTATAATTTAATTTCAAAAACATTTGCTTTCATGCATTGTATTGTCATTCTTTAATAACTCGAAACACTATATACTATAAAAGGATTTATACGCTGAATATTAATTACTTTTGATAATATTTAAATAATCATAAAATAAAAATAATATTGTTAAAATTTAATACATGTGTACATTTTTAAAATAAATTTCAATAAACTGAATCGGAATATTCAATTTCCAATAATGATAATTTAAAATTTTATTTTAATTAAAATAATTATTATTTTTTTGTAATTAATGATTATTATAGGTTGACTTTTCTTTGTCATAAACAAGCCAACAATATGCATACCTGATAATAATAGTGTTGTGTTATGACTTTTAAAAATTTCATTAATTAAAATTGTAAAAGCATTTTTCAAAATAAAAACAAAATTAATTTTCTTTTGTTTTAATTCACTAGGGTAAATAGTAACTTTCAAAAGCTTTGGAAACATTATTTGATTTTTTGTTAGCTAATTTACACAAATTTATGCTTTTTCATGTATGTAGATTTAATTAGATTTTTCTATTATTAACAATCACAAATGTGGGCAATTGCCCCAAATTTGGAGGCTTTTTACCCAAATTGGCAACTATTTTCATCGCAATTAAATTTTGCGTATTTGCCACGCCTATTATACCCCTTGAAAATTTCGCAGAAGAAAGGCTTTTTGAGAGCAGAAGAATAGGAAGATATCCAAAATTTTCCTTATCACCAAAAAGTAGTCATATGTGAGTTCAATATGAGCAAATAAAAAGTAGCGTTTTGAAGAGAATTACGAAAACAGTAAATTATTTACATTATGTACATGTTTATACCGTAACTGGAAATTAAAATTACAAAAATCTAGCATCTAGCAGTCGCATATAATTTATGCGTTTTTAAAATATTTTCCATATTATAAATAAAAAAATTTTTGCAAATACCAATTTATTTTGTAAAGAATCTTCGAAAAATTTATTTTGACATACAAAAAGTATATTTTCTTATGGTTCTACCAGCCTATACATACACGCCAAATACAATTTTTATTAGACTGTACCATTTTATATTTATTAATTTAAGAAAATATATTTAGTTGGTTTTTAAAAGTAATAAAAATTATTTACGATCAATACGCTGGCTGCAAAGGTCATTCAAAAATTAAAAAAAAACAAGAAAATGTTTTTCTCACATACTTTTAACATTAAATTTATTTTAATCATAAAAAAAAAAAAAGAAATTGCACAATATAAACTTTATTGAAAAAACGATGATTGATACAATAATGAAATGACATAACATAAAAATGAAAAGGAATAATGGTAGTCCTCCATCACACTCAACATTAAGCTCAACTGTATGAAGATAACAAAAATATTGAAATGCGATTTACGATTTTGTAAATTTAATGTGGAATTTGCGTTTGCAAAAAGCTGGAAACAAATCTCTTTGTAACTTTACAAGTCTTTGTATGTCGCATGGAAAGCATTTCATATAACAATATTTTGCGTATTGTACAATTAAATTGAACGGTACTCCCGAAATTTAGGAAAACTTTAAAGCTTCGATATGCAATGCTTCTTAAAAGTAAATTTTTTAATCTTTTATTGCTCAAAAATACCTGCTCAAAATTCTCACTGTTTTGTTTTAATGAGCCCTCATTTTACTCTTAATATTGTTCGCTGAAAAATATTTCTGTATCTTACTTTCTGCCCCTATTTTTTCGACCTAAAGACGAACTCCAAGTTAGTTATGCAATACGATTTTTATTAGGTAATCCCCTTTTCGAAAAGAATATATGAATATAAAAATTTTTCCCGAATTATTCAATTTTTGGCATTACAAATCAAAGTGGACATCATTGATTTACACTCTTCGGCAGATTTCATTCAACACAACAACAAAAGAAAGGCGGAAAATGGCACATTTAAAATGTTTTCCTTTTTTTCACGAAATGAATAAAAACAAAACAACGACCTAAATTATTTCCTTCAATAAGAATCAAAAAAAAAAAAATGCAAGGAAAAAGAAAAATTGATCGAAAAGGAAGGTAATAAAATATCCAAACAAAACCAATCGTTCGGAAAACAATCTAATGGAACAACTTACAAACGCTTTTTTTTTCTGAATTTCCACTTATTGTATATATCGTTATAAAATCTCATAAAAAGATAAATATCCCTTAGGAATTTTTAAAGATACAATAAAATGCTGAAAGAAAAAATCAAATAATTCTTAAAAAAAAAAAACAAAAATAAAGCAAAAGAGTGAGAAATATAAAAAAAAATTGGAAAAAAAAAATTAGAATCCTTATGTATCGTATTAAATAACGAAAAGTAACCTTAAAATTTACGATAAAAACTGTACAATCTATTTCAAATGAAATAAGAAGAAAAAAAATAAAACAAAATTAGAAGGTCATAAGCATACCTGGCGTTCTAACTTCACATGGCAATTGAATTGTTTGACCTACAACAAACTTAAATGCCGCTGATGTGGAAAGAAATATTGGCTCAGTCTTCATTCCAAGTTGACTCGTTGATATTGCTGAAAATAAAGGAAAAAATTAAAATTGAAATAAAAATTAATATTTTTTTCTTGTTCCTTCATTTTATTTTATATTTTTTTTATATGAAATTTTTTTGGTACATGTATGGTGGCACAAGGTTGGTATATTTTCTTTAAATTAAATTTAAAAAAAATTTAGACTTAAATTTTGAACAGACCAGCCTAAAAATGAAGTTCAATGAATTTTTTCTATTTGTCCTGCAGGTTTTGTGTGGTCCTCTAAATTAAATATGGCAAATAATTATTAAAATTTGTAATAGAAAATAGTAATGAAAATATGAATTTTTAAAATTTTTAAAATAAACTTTTAATTTTCAAGTAGTAATGACCACCGTACCGTCTTTCTTCCATAAAATACCAATGTTATTTTAATTTAACATATTTTCCGCAATAATATATATATAAGAGGAACCTATATCGCGATGTTACTATCCTTAAGCAAAATTTAAAATTATTTTCAGGAAAAGTGTGCAAAAAAATATTAATCTTTCAATTATTTGGAATGTAAATGGCAAAAAAACTTAAATTAAAAAAAAATGTTATCGTCCCTAATTTTTTAAATGTTTCAAAGGCTGCAAGGCTTTGTTCATTAGTATAATATCAAAACTAAAAAGTAAAAAAAAAAAATCCAAATTTAGAAAATAAAACTGTTTTAGAATTGGAGAATAGGAAAATGGCAATTTAGAAAGCCAAAATATTGGCCAATTATAAGATTTTTTGATATTGAATTCATTTAGGTCCTCATTACAATAGGTACTCTAGATATCTAAATACCTAACTATTCATATTTAAAATTTAGTATTCCTGATAGCACATATATTGCTGACATCGTACGAAAAATATTTAATTTTAATGGCCATTAAAGCTATTTAATGTTAATACTTATGTACTTAAGGACCAAAATTTTTTATAATCAAATTTTAAATGTTGCTTAAAGAAAATTACATAATAAAAATTTTTTTTTTTTCTTAAATATTTTAAAGATATTCCATGACAAGATATAAAACCGTACCCTTCCATTCTTGATATTTAAGATTTCCTATTTCAAGCAGTTTTTCAAAAAAAAAATGAAGAAAGTTCTTATTAGTTTCACTCTTTCCGTCCGTGCACATGTTTACAAAACTTCTACACTCGTGGAGATAGAAAACTGAAATTTCATACGTACATAGACCTTTTCTAGAAACTTAATTTCAATTTATATAAATGCAGAAAGCTAACGGGAACGTCGTTTAATTAAGAAATATAATTAGTTTTCTTAACTCACAAAAATAGCCCAATTTTTTTTCTCCACCCTGAAAGTATGCAATTTTTATGAATTATGGTGTATGAATGAAAATTATTTTAATAATGTAGTGCGTATAATTTTTTTAAAAGCAGAATCTTCACTTGTTTAATTGAAAAGTGCTACATTACAAACCATTGATTTGACCCAATTTTATTTAGATATATAAGATGAATTGTACATTAAGATGTTGATTTTTTGAAATGAAACATTTAACCCTTAAATGATAATGCGAAAAAGAAGAAAAGTAAAAGGGTTTTTGTCTCCTTTTTTATCATAAAAACTTTAAAATAGACACATTTTGTTTTTACTTATAAGTAAGTGTATGTAAATGTATAGGATAGTTCCATGTAATATGAGAAAATCCCTTTAAACATTAAATTTTTACATATTGAATGTTCGTTATGATATCTTCCTTAAAATATACTTTAGGACACGTAATTTTATTTTTTTTTTCCTTTACTTCTGATATTCATTATAGATTTTCAACACATAATCTTATAAAAGGAGTTAAATTACCCTAATGAATGCTTTTGGCAGTAACATAATCATTATAATGTTAGGATTTAACTATAATGCCCAACTATCATAAATTAAAAATAAAAACAAAAATTATTTTTCTAATTATGTTTACACAAAATATTATTATTATTATAATATTTTTATATTACTGTTGCAAATACCAACATACATATAATATACTACATTTATATTATGCTATATGCCTATACAACAGGTCCATTTTCAAGAAAATTCCATGCTTATGTTTAGTTGTCATCGAAACAAGAAATGGGAGATATTAAATTATTAGTTATTATTATACAAAATGTATAATATAATAAGAAAACTAATTCGAAACCCACATTAATAACTATTATTTTTAATGTTAGTTCATGTGTATTGTTACGAATTTTAATGAGAACTGTTTTCTTTTTTGGGTATAAAATTAGTATATGCATATATAAGTACAGAGTAAATTACAGAGAAACTTTAATATTTCAAGGAACCTTTAATAAAAATTAACAATTTAGACTGTTTACTTTCTTTATTCAGCAATTTAATTACATTAAAGCATTGAAATCTATTGAATTTAATTTTGTTTTTAATGACTTTATGGGAAATGTGTATAAATATGGATAAGGAGGAAAAAATACAAAATGTATAAGATTTTTCCTGATAACTAGGATCTTTTGTTATTAGGCTTAAAAGAACTCTAAAATTGAATACGTAATTATGCTTGTTTTTTAACTAGTGGACTGCGTAACTTTGTAAATAATTTGAAAACTTTTTGAATTTAACAATTTTCCGACTCTCTGTATAATTTTATAAGATTCAAAGCGAAAAATATCTTAAATTTAAAGTTAAAATTATATTTTTTAGTCTTTCAACTTTCAATTTAAAAAATTCATATGTACATACATACAATAAATATATATTTACTCAATATTTATGTAAAATATTTTTACTTAAACCACCAGAAGAACAAAAGAATAAAATTAAAAAATTTAATGAAATTAAAATTTAACTTTCTAAATAAAAAAAAAAAAACATTAAATATTTCTTTTCATTTATTAATATCATTTTTGTGGTATTAATTTTGTACATTCCTTCGCTAATTTTCAAAACTTTTCTTATTCAATTTTTACCCAGGATAAAGTAAAATATTTTTTCATATATCATAATGACACAAGTTTTTCTTATTTTGTCTTTTTCATATTATTTTTCTTTATTGTATGAATACTGGTTGCTTTATTACCAGTCATTGTGGTATAAAAAGGAATTCTTATATGATTAATTCTTATGTCATAACGTGATATACCATATATTATATTATTATGTATGTACTCCTGTTCGTCTATATACACGTTGTATATTTATAAATGGAGTTATGTATATTTTCATTTGCATTACAATAATAAATTTTTGATATGAAAAATGCCATACAGGGTTGTTGCATTTCAATTTTTTGATACGACACAGTATAGATTAATACTTGCTTACAATAAGCTTTGCTTTTAATAGCATCTTCTAAACTTAAAGGTGATGAGAAAAAGATTCATAAGGAAGTGCGATATAAAATGAAAGACGCAAACCTAGTGTGAACATATCCAATACTATTAAAATTTTTATTGAAAATTACAATTTAATTTGAAAATCTAGCTAAAAAGCTATAAGTGTAATCAGGTTTTTTATAATAATTTTCTTACTATTAGACAAAAGTGTACGCTTTTGATCAGGATCGAATTCTGAATAAGTCCGCCCTCGCTCACCCACCCGTCCGAACCGAAACTTAAAAAGTAATTGAGTAAAGTTTTTCAAATTTTCACAAATAATTTACTAAAGTGAATACCCGAACCCCTGTTTGTTTATAGCTCAGAAACTATTAAAGCCGAAAATTTAGGCAAATAAATTTGGTAATGTAGCCATTACTTTCAGTAAAACTAAACATAAAAAGCCAGACCTTGCATGAAATTTCGAAAATCATTTATTCGTACGGGTATCACACAGCTGACACGGTCAACATTATCTATTCCCATTTATTTTATTTTTCATTTTCTTATACGACAGGTTCTTATGTTTTCGTTTACATTAACTTGCCTATAAAATTTTTCCTAAAACTCGATTTACTTTTAAAGTAACAAAAAATTCTTGACTTAGTTAACTTAGATTGATTTATAAATTTTGAACACAATTTTCCAAGACTAAACATTTCGGAATATAATGTTGCATAAATTTTTTTTTTCTTCACATTTTATTCGGTTAAATATTTTTAAGCAATCAGTATCTCAACATTATATAAAACTTCAAAGTAAACAGTGCTGAAATAAAATGCTATGTAAAGTGATTTGTATTTTTTTCTTCTCATAACTTATTTGAAAACGCAGCACAGTCATGATTGCTTGAATATAAGAGTATAATATAATTGCTTATACTACATAATGTTATACATAATGTTATACGTATGCATATTACAAGCATAAGTTCACGTACTTTAGTATAACGAAAAATTTCAAAATATTATAGAAACGTATAATATTATGTGTAATTGAAGAATTTCTGAATTTGTAGTATTGTAGAGTTAAAAAAAAAAGAACAACAAGAATAAATGAACTGAGTTTCTTATACACTTAGCATTTGTATATCAAAAAAAAGACTAGAGAACAGAAATAGAAAATTCAACTGTGTTATTAAAAAACACATTATTTTTTTTCTAAATATGAGTAACTGTATACATGCACATACTTAAGGAGTTTTTTTTTTTTCTTTATGTTTTTATTATCAAGGATTTTAATGAAAAATTCTCTTAAAAATTATTTGCGGAGATTTTTTTTTTTGTGATTTTGATATTTTTTTTTTCTTTTTTTAGTTCCTTATTTTTATTTTTCCATTTTTTATGCTATTTTTCTTTTTTTTTTAACTTAAACGAATTGAAAAAAATTTTCTATATTGTGACATTAAATTGCTCTGAATCCCGATTAAAGATTTTAAATATAAAATTATTTTGGTTTTAGTTTATACAATCACAACCCGCATGTTCCTCATAATATATCGTGCGAGTGTGTGTAAGTATATAGCATTCTACTTAAAAGATTTTGCTACCTGATTATTTATATACTTTGTAGATGAAGTCATTTACATAATACATCATATTAGGGGGTAATTCCACAATTGTGACTACATAACTTTAATTATAGGC